TTATTATAGTCTCTTAGAGCCTGTTTGTTATCTAATGAGAGATAGAAAGAGAATAGAGCCAGATGGGAGGGGAGGGGAGAAGGAACTGGGAAGAACAGAGGGATCATAATCATATTATGTGAGGAAAATAATCTATTTTCAATCAAAGGGGAGAAAGAGTTATTTTGTTTGTATCCCTATTGAAACTCCATTGGAGACATAAATTTTTCATTTGCAAGTGATCATCAATTGGAGATTGCTTCTAGGTTAGAGATGGGGGCTGTGTTCACTTCTCTCACACTGATACCCCCTATGGCTATGTGGGCTGCAGTAGTCTCTTTGAGTTTCTATGTTTGTTGGTCCTGCTATGTTTCCGTGGTGTTCTTCATTCCCTCTGACTCTTCCACTCTTCCTGTGTCATCGTCTTCTACATAGTTTCCTGAGATCTGAGAGAAGGGATTGGATGCAGACATCCATTTAGGACTGAGTGGTCCAAGATCTCTTACTCTGCAAATTTTAAGACTGTATTTCTTCAGCATAAGATCAAAGTAGACCCTATGGATGTGGGTGACACTTGTATGGCTGGGGCAGACTGCAGGTCTACTGGCAGCGGCACCAGGATTTATCCCTACTGCTTGTACTGACTTTTTTGGAACATATTCTCTTTGGATTGGATACCTTGCTCAGCCTGGATATAGTGGGGAAGGCCTTGAACCTTTCCCAAAGCAATGTGCCTTACCCTCTCTGAGGAGTGGATTTAGGGAGGGGGCATTGGTGGAGGGAGTGGGAACTGGTATTGGTATGTGAAATGAAAAAGGTAGTTTGTTTTCTTTTTGTAAAAAAAAAAAATGAATTAAATTATAAAAAAAAGACTGTGGTTCTCTATCTTTGCTTCTCTGATGATGGCAATGATCCATGAGTGTGGCAGAATGTCATCAGGAGTCATTTTTATTGCTGTGTTCCTTTAGCAGAACAGTAGTATTTGTTTTTCCCTAGGTTCCTATCCTATCTGTCTTGGGTTCTTAGTCACCCAAGCAGTGTCAGATATGGGTTCGTTCTTACCATCGGGTCTTTGATGGGCCATCTGTAGGTTTGACAAGCCATCTTCTCTTAATCTAACAAGTCTCAGGACTGGAACTAGTTGCCATGTTTGCTAGGAATCTTTGTCCTTTCCAGGCAAAATAAAAATTTCTTTCTCCCTTGGTTCCTAGAAATTGTGTTGCCTCTCCTCCAGCATTTGGCATGTTGCTCTGCTAGCAGTTTGCACTGTTTTCCAATCATGCAGCCCCTGAGGGGGAAACCCTCTCTTATGGCCTTTGACAGCTAGCTGGCCTCAGCCTAGATCTGGCACAAGAAGACCATGCTGGCTAAATGGGTGGACAAATGAAACCAAAGGATAACCTGCTCAAAGACACTGTTGATCTTCCTTAAACCTTGTTCTTTCCAACCTTGGTCAAATCAGAACTTTACACAGTTTGCTTCTGTAGTGTTTTTTAAGGACTATTTAGGACTCCTAAACGTTATATTATCATATAACAGGCTTTCATTTGGGCCACTAACCAGCTCCCAAATCATGACAAAGGGACTTATTATTGGTTAGGAATTCTCAGCCTTGTCTTATGCTTATCCCACTAGCTCTTATAACTTAATTTAACCTGTTTCTCTTGATCTACATTTTGCCTTGGCATTTTACCTTTCTTTCATTCTGTATGTCCTACTCTGTGTCTGACTGGTTGGTGGCTGGCTGGTGGCTGCCTACCTGGCTGGCCAGCTGACCCCAGGCATCTCCTCTCTTCCTCCCTTATTCAATATCTCTCTCTCTCTCTCTCTCTCTCTCTCTCTCTCTCTCTCTCTCTCTCTCTCTCTCTCTCTCTCTCTCTCTCTCTCTCTCTCTCTCTCTCTCTCTCTCTCACACACACACACACACACACACACACACACACACACACATACACATTCTGTCTTTCCTAGATTCTTCCTCCTACTTATTCTCTCTGCCTGCTAGCCCCACCTTTCCCACTACTGCCTAGCTATTGGTTGTTCAACTTTTTTTGCTTTTTTAACTTTTCTCATTTACATGCCAATCCATTTCCCACTCCCTCCCCCTCCTCCCTCTACCTTCCTCCCTCTAACCTCCAACTCACCCCCTAGCCACTCCTCAGAGAGGGTAATGCTTCCCATGGGAAGTCAACAAAGTCTAGCACATTACTTTGAGGCAGGAAAAAGACCCCCCCCCCTATATCTAGGCTAAACAAGGTACCCTTCCAGAGAATGGGTTATAAAACGTTAGAACAAGCAGTAGGGATAAATCCTGGTATCACTGCCAGTGGCCTCACAGTCTGACCCAGCTATATAACCACCACCCACATTCAGAGGGCCTAGTTTGATATTATGCTGGTTCCCTCACTGTCAGGCCAAAGTTGGAAAGTTTCCATTAGCTCCGGTCAGCTGTTTCAGTGGGTGTCTCTATCATGTTCTTGACCTCTTTGCTCATATTCTCACTCCTCTCTCTCTTCAACTGGGCTTTGGGAGTTCAGCCCAGTGCTTCGCTATGGTTCTCTGCATCTCTTCCATCAGTTGTTGGATATACATTCTGTGATGACATTTAAGATAGCCATCAATCTGACTACAGGGCAAGGGCCAGTTCAGACACCCTCTCCACTATTGTTTAGGGTCTTAGCTAAGGTTGTCCTTGTCTAGTGCCAGGTTTCTTCCTAGCCCCATAATGGCTCCCTCAGTCAAGATATCTCTTTTTTTGTTCTTCATCTCTGTCCTTCCTCCATCTCGACCATCCTGTTCCCTCTAGATTTCCTCCTCCCTCCCCTTTTCTCCTCCTCCCCAATACCTTCCCTCCACACCCCCACCCCAACCCCACACTCCCAATTTTCTTAGGAGATCTTGCTTATTTCCCCTTCCCAGGGGGAATCTATGTATGTTTCTCTTAGGGTTCTTGTTACTTAGCTTCTCTGCGGTCTTGGACTATAGGCTCCTTATCCTTTGCTTTACTGCTAGTATTCACCTATGAGTGGGGACATACCATGCTCCTATTTCTGGGTCTGAGTTACACCACGCAGGATAGTTTGTTCTAGTTTCATCCATTTGCATGCAGATTTCAAGATGCCATTGTTTTTATACCGCTGAATAGTACTCCATTGTGTAAACATACCACCTTTTCTTTATCCATTCTTCGGGTGAGGGATATCTAGGTTGTTTCCAAGTTTTGGCTATTACAAATAATGCAATAATAGCTTATGTTGGAGAAAATGTGGAGTAAGGGGAACATTCCTCCATTTCTGATGGAAATGCAAACTTGTACAACCCACTCTGGAAATCAGTATGGCGGTTGCTCAGAAAATTGGGAATCAACCTAACGCAAGACCCAGCAATACCACTCTTGGGCATATACCCAAAGGATGCTCAACTATACTTCAAGGACGTTTGTTCAATTATGTTTATAGCAGCATTATTTGTAATGGTCATTCAGTTTTTTATTAGACCAATCAGGTGCCTTAGGCAGACAAGGTGAAACAAATGTAATACATCTTTATATAATTTTTAAAAATGCACCATAAACAAATGTAACACATCTTTGCCTAGTTAAAGTAATATTCCATATCACCCTCAAGTAGTCTCTGCTCCACAAATTGAATATATGAATTATGGAGTGGGAATACTAGTAGTTGCTGTATCTTGAGGCCTGTAATCTACAGATAGAAGCATCATGCCTTTGAGGACATACAGGCAGCTCTGAATTACTTAGGGTCTTATCCCTTGGCAGTTCTTTCTCACTGTATTCTTCCTCTGGTGTTCTAAAGACACTGGCAGGTATTTGGTGCACACACACTACCTGATAATAATGTCCCATCATGTAAGTGCCCTAACTAAGTACTATTCCCTTTTACTTAAATTAGATAAAACCCAGAGCTGTGGCTTACAAGTAATGGAAGTCCACTGGGGAAATTAAAAGTTCACAAAGAGTGGACCCATTATAATAAAAGCTTTTGCACAGCCAGTGATTCCATCACCCTGTGGCTTCCCTGTTCCTTGGGGTATGGTGAAATATCAAATAAGAGGACCTTTGAAAGTAGTTTGAGGAATTTATTTTAATTGGAAATAGTGGTAACATTCTGTGCTTGGAGTAAACTCTGGATCATACACAGCAGTGTCATCAGCTTTGTATAACGAACCATGGAGCATCCAGGTCTTCCATTGTTCAGGATCTCAGCTTCATTTGTTACAAGTTTTCTCTATTCCCGCATATGTAGTAACTGAATTAGTAGGCTCAAGTCTCTCTTCTGCCCTTGCTCCTGTTGGTCCACATATCCCAGTGACTATGCAGTGTGTGTGTGTGTGTGTGTGTGTGTGTGTGTGTTATGTGTGTATGTTGGTACCTAAATCAAGCCACTGATATACCTTCAAATATTTCTTATTGAGACTTGAGATAAACCCAGAAATCAAACAGAGTAGCTAGTAGACAAAGATTATTACCGTTTAATAATTCTAAATATTCATTTCATATTTCTAAATTCTTCATCAACACATCCTGGGCTCTGCTTATGCATTAAGCACTTTACATGTGTGCTCTCATTTCACTCTGACTCCCCATCTCACAGATGAAGAGACTACATAGAGAAATTGCACTAGCCCAGATTACATAGCTGTGATTGCAGAGCTAGAACCACCTATAATGCAGAGGTAGAAGCTATATTGAATGCCAAAGCCAGGTTATACTCCAGCCTGACACCAAAGTTCAAGTTTTTAAGTACTATTACAGAGTTCCTGGCTTGAGGGTTAGATTCCTGAATGTAAAACTTAGGTAACAAACTAAGGTAATATCACTCTTTAGAAGCCTTGTTATTAATTATGTGTCCTTGTAATTATAGCAGTACTTGAATAGTATCACATTTCTTAGAATGGTTTTACAGTTGTTCAATCTGTCTTTACTTTCTCACTTTTATATTTTTAGATGCATCATCCCATTCAGATGAAACCTGCAGATAGTGAAAAGTCAAACGGTAGGTGGCAACCAACTGTCTAATATATTAATGTCTGCTACTTTCGATTAAGTCAGGTGGGGAGGAGGAGCCAGCTTTAGCTGTTGTTTCCCTCTGGAAGGTGGTCAGCTGCTACTCCAGGCATTATGGTTAGCACATCTGGTGAAACATGTCTCCACTCTTCTCTCTCGTTGATCTGTGGAGGGAAAAATAACCAACAACAACTGTGAAGACTGTGACAAGGAGTGGTTTTCCATTAGCTCTGTTTAAGGCTTGCCCTATGTCATAACGTTGTGGAATTTGGCTAATATTGATCTGATCCTAGTACAACACAGGGATACCTTACGAATGGAGAACATGAGTGGAAAATGAGTATCCATTGAGAAACAGGCCACTCTTTTTTGCTCTCTCATTAATCCTTTTTAACTCTCTTACTACATTTTTCTCTAAATTTTACCAATACATTCGCATCAGAATTCAGTCTGCTGATTAAATGAGCATACAGTTGCCACAAAAGTATTATGTATTTGATGAGGTCTATAATAAAATTGAGATTTGTCTCTTCAAGACACTTCAGGGTTGATAGTTCACATTTTTTATCAAGTTTTTACTTCTATCTCTACAAGCCTCCTGTCTCCATTTTGTTCTTTAATTTACTGAAATGATATTAAAGAATCATCTACCCTCGTGGACCACAGAGCTCCTCTGTCCCACGAGACTGACATAACCAGCACTCTTCCCTACCAGCAGGCAGTTCTGCACCTCATTAATTAGTAATCAGGGCAGAAGCCGTGCGTTTAGAGATCTATATATCTGCACATGTAAATTATGATTGGGTTCTACATCTCTCCACAAGGGTTTTTTTGTTTTGGTTTTTGGTTGTTTGCTTTTTTTTGACGATTGTATTTATTCCATTTTTTGGCTTCTTCATGAACTGTAAAGTTTTGAAGAAAACTCCCAAGTTGCCACAAGGGCTGCCAACAGTAGTTTGTCAGAGCGAGCACACTGTCTGCTGCTTATCCCATCCCCCTGAGCAAGTTCTGGTGCTTTGCTCCTATCTTCTCAGCCCTGCACTTCCCTCCGTGCTGATTCCCCTTTGCTATATTATTTTATCATAAATATGCTATTTCTAACAAGAAATTTCTAAAAATCTGCCACTGCTTTGTTGTGATGCCATAATTAAATTGCTTGCTTGCTTCCTTTCTCCCTCCCTCCCTTCCTTCTTTCCCTCCTTCATTAGTTACACATTTATCATTTACTATGTGCCAGGACAGTTGTCTACAGGATGGTATGCAGCAGTGAATATGAAAAAGTAAAGAGACTATGTCCCTGACATGGAACTTTATCCATTTCACTAACTTAATGCCTAATTATAGTTACTAACATGGAACTTTGCATCTTCTCATTCATAAAATAGGGATAGGGGTAACTACCTTAAATAGGTTAGATTTTTGTTTCTTGTAGACTCTCAGTAAGATTTTTGCCACAGTCTTTGTAAATGACGGACACTCCTTGACGGGTTAGTTATTACCTCCCAGAGGGATACCCTGCATGTGGAACATTCTTTGCTGAGCGTACCATCATCAAAAGCTAGCCATTTCTAGCCCAGACTTCTCATATACTGTGCTACTCTTTCATGGCAAACAGAAGAGAAGAATCGTGTGGAATAAACCCTGTCAGTGTATGTCTTCTTGGAGTTTCTAGCCACCGTGAGATGTTCTCTCTATCCTTTGGCTCCATACTTCTCTAAATTATATCAGAGCAAAAGTCCTGGAGTGAAAGTCTGTGGAAAGCTTTATGTTGTATTTATAAATACACAATTCAGATAGTTAAATTGAGCACATAGGGCCTGAAATGCTTGAGTATTGAAATATGGTATATATTCTTCTTTATATTGTCTACTGTTCATGTGTACAACCAGATAGATTACAAACCCATTGCTGCCAAGAGTTCTCAGTGTTTTGCTGCTTTTATTCTCCAGTGTCAACTCTGAACACAATGTTTGGTCTAAGTCTAAAACTACTGCAAACTAAACTATGTGCCCTAAATTTTTCATGACCTCAAAAGTCAAGGAGGTTTTGGGTATCCTTATTACTACAATAAAAAAATAAAAGTCCTTAAAATACCCCTTTTGAGGAGGCTGTATAGGATAGCAGGTAAGTAAGCCATAGCTGCAACTAAGTATTCAAATGAATGAGCCTATGGGGGGGGGGGACATTTCTTACACACATCATCACACTCCATTCACTGGCCCTCAAAAGTTAGTGGCCTTTCATGATGCAAAATGCATTTAGTACAACTTCAGAAGTCCCCATAGTATTTAAAGTCTCAACACTGTTTAGAAATTGAAAGTCTGTTTTGAGACTCAAGGCAGTCTCTTAACTATGACCCCTATAAAACCAAAAATTAAATTACATACCTCCAGCATAAACTTAGAAAACTCCAGAAGGGATAAATGGGACATAGTAAAGAAATATTAAATCAAAGCAAAAGTAAAACCCAACAGGGAAACTACTGGCACCTATGTCTCTGCGTCCAGTATCTAGGGCTTTAGTTTGAAAGGGATTAGATGTCTCAGTCCTATAGCTTTGATGTAGGATATAACACACATCTCTTTTTTGAGCTGGTTCTATCCCTTGTATTCAGCTCTCTATGGCAGATGTCTTCCAATTCTGACATCTCCAACATCTTGTAATCTTCACTGGAACCAGGCTTCACTTTCACAACTTCATGTAATGGTCTGGCAGGGTCTTCTCAAAGGGACTCCAGCATTGCCACATGTTGCTTGGCTTCAGTTTCTCTCTAAAATTATGGAGAAGAATACATGACCCCCTCACTCCAGAATTTTTCATGCTTTCAACGACAGTGCCATCTGGATTAACTGCCAAGTTAACTGCCATCTTGAGATGAACATCTTGTACCATTTGACTGAATTAGCAGCAGCTTTTCTGTGTTGAAGCAATTGCTTTCTATGAGCGAGCAGCCCCTTAAGCTTTCTTCTTTCTTAAGTTGGAGTCTTAGCTGGATAGAGTCTTTTCTTGAGAGCACCCTTCCTATTGTTCCAGTGCAAAGCAGGAGGCCTTCCCTTCATGGCCCTACTCTCTCCTTAAGCACGTGCTTTAGCAGAAATATTATGCTTCCCAGTGTTCTATTTCTATTCCACCTATACATTTTAAATTTCGTCCCTATTTACTCTTTTTCATTATAGACCTGCATAAGAGTTATTAGTAATAATCATGCCAAAGATTCAACATGATGCTGATTTGAAATTTATTGTACTAAAGAAATTGGGCTACTACATTTTTATTTTATTTATTATGGAAACAAGATCTCTCTATGCAGCCCTGAAGGGCCTCAAACTCACTATGTAGACCAGGCTGGCCTTGAACTCACAGAGATACATCTGCTTCTGCCTTCTTGGCGCTGAACCCAGCAATTCATTTCTTTTTAATTTAGCCTCACATTAATTCTCAGAACATAGACAGAAAACAGTTATATTCTTTCCCAAAATATAGAAATGGTTTGTAGCTCCGTTGCTAGTAAACTCCTTATTCCCCTATGAAAGAAACCTTGTGAGCCAGACCTTCACTACTCTCAGAGTTTCTGGTTTCACACTCCCACTAGAATATGTCATTAAGTTCTGCTTACAACATTTAACTACTTGTCTAGTCCAAAGTTCCAAAGTCTTTCACATTCCTCAAAAAAACAACATGGTCAAGTGTTTCGCAGAAACAACCCTACTCTCTGATACAAGCTTTTCTGTTGCTCTGAAAATAATTCCATGACTAAAAGCAACTTATTTGGGCTTATAGTTTCATACGGTTAGGGAAGACATGATGGTAGGAGGCCAGAGCAGGGAGCTAAGAGATCACTTCTCAACCTCTCAAGCACACGTAAGCTCTCTCATAGCTCACCTCCAATAACTTACTTCCTCCAGGAAGGCTCCATGTCCTACAACTTCCCAAAAAGCACCAGTGTTCAGATGCATATGTCTATGGGAACATTTATCAAACAAACCCCCATAGTCCATAAAAGACTTAACATAGTACCTGCCACACCAGAAATACTCATTTTGCTGTGTTATGTTAATACTAAATTAGCGTCACAGCCTGGCACACCTAGGCTGCTCACGCTACAGTATAAGCTCAGACATGGATGGAGGATCCTCAAACCTGCTTGTGACATGAGTTCTCCTTTGGCCTTCATTTTTTTGATTTCTGATTAGAAAAGTCAAAACATGGGAAGAAACTTACAATTACATTTCAAAAACGCTATTATGGGAGCTCAAATGGAACTTTGTCTTGCATAGATATGAAGAGCTTGCATAGTTCCCTTTGGACCTAACTTAGGAATAAGAAGAAATGTATACTTTTCTAGCTCAGATTATAAGTAGCACAATCCTTTCTGATTCCTCGTGGCATTTTTGACAGGTAAGCATAGTTTCAGAAGCATAAAGAACACAAAGATTTCTTTGGTTCAGACGCTCTGAATAGCTTGAAAGAAGTATAACAAGCTCTAATTGCACTTTTATTGAGTTTGCTGACATTTATGTATAGCACAAAGGACTCATCACAGCTAGACAGTTGCTGTCTTCATTATCTGTGTGCTCAGATTCTGAAATTTTGTATTTTCTGAGCAAGGACTGCTAATCGTGGATCAGTTAGTTATGGATAACTGAATTCCAGCAAAATAGTCAGCCTTGGAATCCCTAGCCATCTCTAGTCTGATACAGGGACTCTCTGGTGAGCTCAGAAATGTTAGATGCTTGTACACCAGCCCTGCACTGTTGAATCTTAACTGAGTGGGATTCCTAAACCTCTATGGTTTCCTTTAATCCACCTTTCAAATCGCTATAATTTAATCTGAATCCTCTATAACATTCATTCCACTCGGCAGCATTTTATTTTCTGGGCTACTGTACCAGATGTGCAAAGGGAAAAATAAAAAATACTACTCTAGATAAGTAATAGTTGATCGGACATTTAATAAGAACACTTTAAAATACTCAGACATCAACAGATTTCAACTTTCTTGTTGTTTTCCACTGCAGAAGATTGAATGATAGTATAAAGAGTGTGTTTGAGAAGGTATGAGTATAAGTACTTGTATTAACTAGCATAGTTACTTTCTTCCATTCTATGTATCATAGAGTTTTCTGTAGCATCCAGCTGTCAGTCTTCAATCAACCTTCAGTCC